GTGTGTGTGTGTGTGTGTGTGTGTGTGTGTGTGTGTGTGTGTGTGTGTGTGTGTGTGTGTGTGTGTGTGTGTGTGTGTGTGTGTGTGTGTGTGTGTGTGTGTGTGTGTGTGTGTGTGTGTGTGTGTGTGTGTGTGTGTGTGTGTGTGTGTGTGTGTGTGTGTGTGTGTGTGTGTGTGTGTGTGTGTGTGTGTGTGTGTGTGTGTGTGTGTGTGTGTGTGTGTGTGTGTGTGTGTGTGTGTGTGTGTGTGTGTGTGTGTGTGTGTGTGTGTGTGTGTGTGTGTGTGTGTGTGTGTGTGTGTGTGTGTGTGTGTGTGTGTGTGTGTGTGTGTGTGTGTGTGTGTGTGTGTGTGTGTGTGTGTGTGTGTGTGTGTGTGTGTGTGTGTGTGTGTGTGTGTGTGTGTGTGTGTGTGTGTGTGTGTGTGTGTGTGTGTGTGTGTGTGTGTGTGTGTGTGTGTGTGTGTGTGTGTGTGTGTGTGTGTGTGTGTGTGTGTGTGTGTGTGTGTGTGTGTGTGTGTGTGTGTGTGTGTGTGTGTGTGTGTGTGTGTGTGTGTGTGTGTGTGTGTGTGTGTGTGTGTGTGTGTGTGTGTGTGTGTGTGTGTGTGTGTGTGTGTGTGTGTGTGTGTGTGTGTGTGTGTGTGTGTGTGTGTGTGTGTGTGTGTGTGTGTGTGTGTGTGTGTGTGTGTGTGTGTGTGTGTGTGTGTGTGTGTGTGTGTGTGTGTGTGTGTGTGTGTGTGTGTGTGTGTGTGTGTGTGTGTGTGTGTGTGTGTGTGTGTGTGTGTGTGTGTGTGTGTGTGTGTGTGTGTGTGTGTGTGTGTGTGTGTGTGTGTGTGTGTGTGTGTGTGTGTGTGTGTGTGTGTGTGTGTGTGTGTGTGTGTGTGTGTGTGTGTGTGTGTGTGTGTGTGTGTGTGTGTGTGTGTGTGTGTGTGTGTGTGTGTGTGTGTGTGTGTGTGTGTGTGTGTGTGTGTGTGTGTGTGTGTGTGTGTGTGTGTGTGTGTGTGTGTGTGTGTGTGTGTGTGTGTGTGTGTGTGTGTGTGTGTGTGTGTGTGTGTGTGTGTGTGTGTGTGTGTGTGTGTGTGTGTGTGTGTGTGTGTGTGTGTGTGTGTGTGTGTGTGTGTGTGTGTGTGTGTGTGTGTGTGTGTGTGTGTGTGTGTGTGTGTGTGTGTGTGTGTGTGTGTGTGTGTGTGTGTGTGTGTGTGTGTGTGTGTGTGTGTGTGTGTGTGTGTGTGTGTGTGTGTGTGTGTGTGTGTGTGTGTGTGTGTGTGTGTGTGTGTGTGTGTGTGTGTGTGTGTGTGTGTGTGTGTGTGTGTGTGTGTGTGTGTGTGTGTGTGTGTGTGTGTGTGTGTGTGTGTGTGTGTGTGTGTGTGTGTGTGTGTGTGTGTGTGTGTGTGTGTGTGTGTGTGTGTGTGTGTGTGTGTGTGTGTGTGTGTGTGTGTGTGTGTGTGTGTGTGTGTGTGTGTGTGTGTGTGTGTGTGTGTGTGTGTGTGTGTGTGTGTGTGTGTGTGTGTGTGTGTGTGTGTGTGTGTGTGTGTGTGTGTGTGTGTGTGTGTGTGTGTGTGTGTGTGTGTGTGTGTGTGTGTGTGTGTGTGTGTGTGTGTGTGTGTGTGTGTGTGTGTGTGTGTGTGTGTGTGTGTGTGTGTGTGTGTGTGTGTGTGTGTGTGTGTGTGTGTGTGTGTGTGTGTGTGTGTGTGTGTGTGTGTGTGTGTGTGTGTGTGTGTGTGTGTGTGTGTGTGTGTGTGTGTGTGTGTGTGTGTGTGTGTGTGTGTGTGTGTGTGTGTGTGTGTGTGTGTGTGTGTGTGTGTGTGTGTGTGTGTGTGTGTGTGTGTGTGTGTGTGTGTGTGTGTGTGTGTGTGTGTGTGTGTGTGTGTGTGTGTGTGTGTGTGTGTGTGTGTGTGTGTGTGTGTGTGTGTGTGTGTGTGTGTGTGTGTGTGTGTGTGTGTGTGTGTGTGTGTGTGTGTGTGTGTGTGTGTGTGTGTGTGTGTGTGTGTGTGTGTGTGTGTGTGTGTGTGTGTGTGTGTGTGTGTGTGTGTGTGTGTGTGTGTGTGTGTGTGTGTGTGTGTGTGTGTGTGTGTGTGTGTGTGTGTGTGTGTGTGTGTGTGTGTGTGTGTGTGTGTGTGTGTGTGTGTGTGTGTGTGTGTGTGTGTGTGTGTGTGTGTGTGTGTGTGTGTGTGTGTGTGTGTGTGTGTGTGTGTGTGTGTGTGTGTGTGTGTGTGTGTGTGTGTGTGTGTGTGTGTGTGTGTGTGTGTGTGTGTGTGTGTGTGTGTGTGTGTGTGTGTGTGTGTGTGTGTGTGTGTGTGTGTGTGTGTGTGTGTGTGTGTGTGTGTGTGTGTGT